CCTCAGCCATCCCTGGCATCTCGCAGGGCCCTGCCACAGCATGGAGGGGCTTCGGGCACTGGGTGTCCTGCTGCTGTCCTGCCTGCTGCTGCCCTCACCCGCGGGCACCCAGACCAGCCCCAGCCCCAACCCTGACCAGCGTTTGGTGACAGACCCCGAGGAGGCACCATCCCATCACCACGCAGCCAGGTGAGGGGACCCCGGGGCCGGGGTGTTTCACAGTGGGGGCCGGGGCAGCCCTGGCACTGCAAAGGGCCCCGGCCCCCACCCGTAGCTCCCTGTTGCGCTTTGCTTTTTTGCCCTCCCCAGTGCCACGCGGGAGCAGAAGCCCGACGGTGCCCAGGAGGGGCTGCCCCCCCGGCCCCGCTGCGTCCGCTGCTGTGAGCCGCCCGACCAGCACTTCTCCTACCCCCGCTACCAGCCCCTGCCCCAGATCAACATGACCATCCTGAAAGGTGAGGACCGGTGGGACCCCGCGCTGCTGGCTCTCTGTGCTCCCAGTGTCACACAAACTGGGAGCGAGAAGCTGGGGCTGGTGCCTGTGGTCCAGTGCCCTGCACAGGCAGAGGGAGGGTGGGCAGGGGACACACCGGGCCACCGGGTACCCTGCTCTGGTGGCCTCTTTGCAGGCAGCAGCAGCAGAGCCCAGGGAGGGGGCATCCCTGCTCTCTCCATCCCTTTCTGTTGAGTCAAGGGGCTTCCAGGGCAACGGGTTTAGAGATGGCACCCACTTCTGATCGTGGAACCGGCCTCTTGCTTTGCCCAGGAGAAAAGGGGGACCGCGGCGAGCGAGGCATGCAGGGCAAGTACGGCAAGACAGGGGTGGCCGGCAGCAGGGGCCACGCGGGTCCCAAGGGCCAGAAGGGCAGCGTGGGCGCCCCGGGGGAGCGCTGCAAGAGCCACTACGCCGCCTTCTCGGTGGGCCGCAAGAAACCCCTGCACAGCAACGACTACTACCAGCCCCTCATCTTCGACACGGAGTTCGTCAACCTCTACGACCACTTCAACATGTTCACGGGCAAGTTCTACTGCTACGTCCCCGGGATCTACTACTTCAGCCTCAACGTGCACACCTGGAACCAGAAGGAGACGTACCTGCACATCATGCGTAACGGGGCGGAGGTGGTGATCCTCTACGCCCAGGTGAGCGACCGCAGCATCATGCAGAGCCAGAG